AAAAACATTCGGGGGGGGGGGGCTACGGACCCCCCAGTACGTATTTTGTCCCTTGTAACTAAGTCACCTGATACATTTGGTTATGCGCTCAATTGCGCCACTTGAATTAAAGCTAGCGCCATTACGGTTAAGCCGTGACAAATTTTCAAAAAGTGGGGGGCCAACTTAACGTTTTTAAAAGTTACTTTTTTTAACATCTTTTCATACGAAATTGTACTCTCAGGTATGCGCTGAAATGCGCCGTAAAAAGATATCTTTGCGCCATTATTGTTTTTTGGTTATCCTAAATACAAATTTTTAAAAACCTACCTATTTTACTTTCTCAGAATCGTTTAACTAAAGCTCCCAAAAAACACCCTGTATAGTGTTTCTGAAACACTATAATGGCGCCAAGATTTTTGTTTACGGCGCATTTTAGCGCATGATAGCGCATGATGAAAGGTACGATGTAGTAGAAAAAACATGTTAAAAAACGTAACTTTTGAAAACGTTAAGTTAGCCCCCCCCCTTTTTAAAATTTTTTTATGGCTTAACCGTAATGGCGCTAGCTTTAATTCAAGTGGCGCAATTGAGCTCATAACCAGATGTATCAAGTGGCACAAATACCGGTAGCAAAATGCGTTATGGGGGATTCCGTTCACTTGGCCCCCCCCAAATATATTTAAGGATAACCAAAAAACAATAATGGCGCAAAGATATCTTTTTACGGCGCATTTCAGCGCATACCTGAGAGTACAATTTCGTATGAAAAGATGTTAAAAAAAAGTAACTTTTAAAAACGTTAAGTTGGCCCCCCCCCACTTTTTGAAAATTTGTCACGGCTTAACCGTAATGGCGCTAGCTTTAATTCAAGTGGCGCAATTGAGCGCATAACCAAATGTATCAGGTGACCTAGTTACAAGGGACAAAATACGTACGGGGGGGGGGGGGGCTACGTTCACTTGCCCCCCCCCCCCCCCAATGTTTTTTCGGATTTCTAAAAAAGGATAATGGCGCAAGAGTTATTATCGGTGGCGCATAACGAGCGCATTCATTTCAAAATAATACGTCTATGAAATCTCTCAGTGGGGGGGCCAAGTTAACGGACCCCTGCAAACCAGTTGAGAACAATTATCAGTCCATTTAAAATGTAGAGAAAATTCCGTTCTTTTGGGGGTGCTTGTTTGGCCTCTTAGCGGTGATTGTGCAATGCTAAAAATAAGTTCCAGCTGCATCAACAAACAATTTGCCCAAAGCTCTATCCTTGAATTATTATTAATATACATAAATACGAGCATAAATATAAATTAATTATGAATATTATATTATTAATATAAATTAAACAAATCACTTATTCTGAAATCACCACACGTGTATGTATAAATATATAACGACGCTTTCAAGTTGAGGTAATCAAAATTAAATATTAATGAAACAAGGAAACTGCAAATTAATTTTTAGATCTGTGTGTATCGCAGTAGTACCGTAGTAATTAATTCTGGTCTTCGCAACAGCTAGCAATTCTAGGCGAGGAATTGATATTTTCTTTCTTCCGATAGGTTCCACCCTAGCTACCAGCAAATGAACATAACCTCTTTTTTTTGTGCTACACCGCAAAACAGAACTGCTGCATACGTATCTTTAGAAGCATCAGCAAATATGCAGCCAATATGTAAAAATATTTCCTTTGAATGTAATCCTTCAATTATGACATAACGAAGAATCTCAATTTTCGAAAGATTTGGTAAATGGTGGACCCAACTTCTAAACTTGTCGGCTGTCTCATCTTCTATTTCGATATCCCATAAAATATTTCTCTCCCACAACGTTTGTAACCAGAACTTTGGTAATAGGGTTGCCGGAGAGCTGTATCCTATTGGGTCAAAAACCTTTTGCGTCATCCAGTAACTTTCTTTTTGTTACGACCATATTTTCTGTCTCCAGCTTTATCAAATTTGGGTTTAACGTTAAAACATTTCGATTCGGGTGCCACGTAAGTCCAAGAACTCTCACGCTACCATCTCTTATTTATTTTATCTCTTTATTTATATGCATTGTTTGAAGTTTGAATGATTACGAAATCGAGAGCCTATTTGATTGGCTAAAAGTGTATCCTTCTTAGCATGTTCTGTAGAGTCCTGCTGACTATTTCCCTCTGTTATCACTGGTTTGGTGCCTATTAAATTTCGACACATTATAGGCATATGAGAACTACCACAAACAATGCAACGCACCCGCACACGGGTCCGTTTATACTGGTGTCCTACATTGAGGCACTTAAAACAACTCCTTTTGCTGTTACCGTAACTGTCTTTCTTCATGTGTCATCAGATCTCGAATTAAGTGACTTTTGTGGGTGCTTTTAGAAATTCCTTCTAAACCGAATCCTAACCGCTCAGGTTCGTAGTTAGGAGATGGTCAGGTGGGGCTGAACCTCACCTGGATCGTGGTCTTGCCCCCACTGGAAATTACGGTTGATGGTATGATGGTTCCTTTACAAAAGTTACAGGCGAAGTCTGTATCAAAAACTTCTTAAGCCCCTCCTAGAAAAATACCGGCCATCCCTGCTACTTTGTTTTGGATACGGCTACTGCAATAATTCATATAATTTTAAGGTGTTTTCTTTAAAATAGCCATACAAGAAATCCTCGGTAATAATTTCTGTGGGTTACAATGAAACATAAAAACCGAGGTAAACCAATGAGCGTCGTAAACGCCACAATCAAAATCAGAGTCGAGGAGATACCAGTAAACCATCATCAGCCGTTTATGAGAATCACTTGTTGAAATGCCCGGAGAACTACAAGGAATATTTCTCTTTTGAGCTCGCGCTTATATAATTTCGGGTGGAATGTTTTTCGTGAAACCACTAAAGAAGCAAACGTGGGTAACACTTCCAGCTGCGTATAGGTGAGGAAAATTCTCATCTTCCTCCAATGTCCGCGTGTTCACATTCTCAGCGAGTGCAACTTCAGGTACACCATTGTCTTGGGAATAGCTTGACACCACAGAATGGGGATGGCGGATATCTAATGGTCAACTGACCACGATACAAGGCATATTACCTCCAGCAGTTGACAAGCTTTTACATGTCATTACATATAATTATTGTACCGTATGAGGGAAACTGCGACTTCGCCCGAGCAAAGTTTTGGCCTTCTCTCTCTCTGCAGGATGATGAGGATGTTGAAGATGCGGAAACAGAATTCCTTATTCTATCCGCTTTCAAATTTTCCATACGTGTTCCTTACTTTATCTGTGCAGGAAAAAATGTGTTCTTTGTTTAAATTGAACTTTTAAATTAGTATGTGGGTATTAATTATAAATATGCTCCAAAAACAATCGGACCCAATATTAAAATTTTAAGAGTTTATTCGAGCGGATTAATTATTTATTGTATTTGCCGTTGAAAAATTACTAAAGTTTCAAATAAAGAGCCTTAATGCTATGAATTATTACAGGAGTTATTATTTAGGATAACCATTGTCGTTCTGAACAATTGTAGACCACAGCCACAAAAATCGGTGACCAGAAAAGCAACCAATCCTTTACTTATATAAGATAACCATTTAAACTGAATAAGAGGAAATTTTCATTTGCCTGGAGCCATCTTCAAACCTACTTTACTAACACTTGAGGCGGGCCCATTCTTCTGTACAAAGGCCAAAAGCTTGCCAATCCTTACACTGTAGGTAGTAATCCTTTTGGTGTACACGTCACACTGCTACATTTCTGCGATTAAAGACTTTTCGGAGGTGTCACTTTCTAAAAACGAGCTGTAAATCTCCAAGTTGATCGCAACAAAGTCTTCAATTTTGAGTTTAAAGCACTCCCAAGTCACTTCTACTTCTTCACGTATTGTCGGCTTTTTTTAAATAAAGTATCTAATTCACTAGAGACTTTGTTATACATGAACGAAGTACTTTTCTGTGCTTTGTCTTGGTTTCAATCACCTCATCCATATTACAGAATTATTATTGCGAGCTTGGAAAGTACACAATCTAGGATAGGTGTCAAAGCTTTTATGCTATTTATGACCAACTTCTACAGAGTATTTAGATATCACAATTCACCTCAGTCCTGTCCCAGTCGCCAAAAGTGTTAAATTCATACGATTATCAAATACAACGGACATTCTTTTATCTGTCATACAACAACTATTTTTCCACAAAGCACGCTCACATTAACATAATAGAGAGGGTAGTGGATTATTCGAAAAACAGACATCTGCCGATGGGTAGACATTTCCTTTGGAAAGGGCTGCAAAGCTAGCTGCTGCTGGGATCGGCAGATCAACAAATTTCATAACCAAAATTATGTTTGTGTGCAGTGGCCAGTGTGTCATTCTGTAGAGGCAAAGCCAAACTTGCCGATGATGGGACATTGAAATCTCCTTCAAAGAAGCGACGAAGTGGGTTACATTTTTAGACAAAACCTACATCCATCCATCTTATATGAACCTGGTTTACGTAAAACTGACCGAAGCAGGAGGATCATATGGTTTCGTTGATAACGCACTTCTCACCTTCAAATCGAAAAGCAAGTTCGGAGATTACCACGACGACATGAATCATAATAATTTCATGAGATGACTAATTCCAAATTTGCCTCCAAATGGGATTGCCGTTGTGGACAATGCACCTTACCACGGGGTTCTAAATAACAAACCACCAACACAGGTAACAGGTAAAGCAAGTATGGGGGAACAGTTGGACAATAACGGAGTATCAAAAACCAACGTACAAATATAATAAATAAAATGTTTGAAAACTGGAAAAAGAAAAAGTACAGTCAGTGTCAGTAGTATTAGGCGGTAAATTTCAACACTATTGACACTGAATGTACTAGTAAAAAACAGCGCTACCAAATCATCGCCTTCTCGACAGACTCGTTTGGTTAGCTTGCCCAAGTTGCTGGAGTATATTTTGCATTAAATATCTAAATAAGGTAGGTACCTGTAAGGCACCTGTAAGGCGTACACAATTTTATCTCCACTGTAACTTTGTTTAGGTTATGGCGTACGTTGCTGAAATAACGGAACCCCACTTGAGGGGAATCTTGTCGACGTTATCACCACTGGCGGTCGTTTCTGGAGTTTTTGCGCAGTTCGTCATTGGTGGCTTTTTACACTGGCGAATTGTTGCACTGATATCATGCGCGGTTCCAATCTTTAACTTTTTTTGTTTACTTGCGATGCCCGAGACACCGTATTGGTTATTGTTCCACAATAAGTTGGAGGAAGCCCGAAAAAGTCTGGCGTGGGTCAGAGGCTGGACGACAGTTGAAGATGTAGAACAGGAGTTGAGGGAAATGGAACAATTCGTCAAGGAAAAATTATGCCGTGTCGACCACCAGACTAAAGATGGTGGTAAGCGACTTTGCGAGAAGTATTTCCGGAAGAATTTCTTGTGGCCCTTTTCTTTAATTACTGTGTTATTTTTTATTTTGTGTTTTAGTGGTGTGCTAATGTTACAAATCTATGGTGTGGTTATTTTTGCCACATTGAAGGTACCTATGGATAAATATTACGCAGAAATGCTAATGGGTTTGTCCCAACTCTTAGGAAGTATGGCTAGTGTCTTTGCCGTTCGAATTTGTGGAAAACGCGTTATGGCATTTGTAACTATAGGCGGATTATTTGTTCTTAACTTCTGCTTCGCAACTTACGCATATGTGGCAAACATAGAACGTCTAGATTTTGCTGGCGTAGATACATCCTCATCATCATCATCATCGGAATATATGGCGTGGATCCCCCTGGTTCTTGTAATTTTAATATCATTTGTGGGTCACTGTGGGCCTAGGGTATTACCTTGGATTATGATGGGAGAGATCTTCTCAAATTATATGCGCGCCGAGGGTTGTGCGTTCACTGGCTGTATGTACTACATACTATTTGCTGCAGCATCAATGGGGTATTTGAACATGATATCAACATTGACATTCTCAGGTGTTTATTGGACCTATGCCGGTGTATGTTTTTTTGGAATTGTTTTTGTATACTATGCTCTACCCGAGACAGAGGGAAAAACATTAGTAGATATTTCGCATCATTTCAGTGGACAAGAAAAGTTAAGCAATAAGGTGAACAGAAAAAGCATTTCAGCGCCCTCCCCTTCATCAGCACTAGGACCGGTCTAATACACCGGTAATGAATGATCGAAATCACTTCAAGGTTTTACTCAAATGTCGCTAATTATTAATTATTGACTTTAAGGCCCACATGCCAAATGACAACCACACGTTCTTATGAAAGTTCCATTTATAGTAGATCTCTAGCAATTTACCGATCGTTGACATTTTTGGCAGTAATAAAAAGCACGCGTGCACTTAACTTGTATTATCGGTCATATTTTTTTTTAATTAACCATAACTACCTTTGTTAAGTGAACACAAGAATTGAAAGAAGATGACTCAACGGTTACCAGAAATTCAATTTTCTTCCAGTCATATCTTTAAATAGTAATAAATTGGTTCTTATTATCTTTAAAAAACATATAAGATATAACTGTGTATTTTTATGTTCAAAGTACTTATACGAAAGTGTTGTTACAAAAGCGAAAAGCGGACTAATTTTGATTAATCTTTTAGTGATAAAATAATAAAAAAATGACTTACCCCCAAATATTTTGTCTCTATGATCTTTACACAAATTAAAGGATCGGAAAGAAAGGATTTGTGTGAAATTGACGTATACAAGTATCACAATAATTAATACAAAATGAAATTGAACTTGATGCAGTTGGCGTGTGTAGCGTTGAACGAATATTCGGCAAGTGAGTTTTAAAACTGCACTCTGCGCTGCACCTAGAGATAATAAAATAGGCAAAGCGATAAAATAAATTTTAAATTTTATATTTAACATACTACCCCCCTAATTTTGAAAAAAAATTAACAATATTTTGCAAAATGAGAAAAAATAAAAATTATTACAATTAAATTATTATTGGCGATATTTACACCCCTGGCAAAGGGCAAAGTTTTACCAGAGGACGCGTGTATACTCCCTGGTTAGTTCGAATTTCGGCAATGCGGGCAATACCGTCAGAACCTAAAAAAAGTTTGTTCACTCTCGCTAGTTTCCAATGCATAGGCGGTAAATTTTTTTCTTTTACTAAAACCAGGGTGCCTATGTTGATAGGGTTTTCTTTATCAATCCATTTTGTTTTTTGATGCAGAGTATGTAAATATTCCAAACTCCAACGCGACCAAAAATCATGGTGTAAGCGTAATAGTAACTGATAGCGATCTAAACGGTTTAACTTTAAATGTGACATGTCGGGATCTGGAATAGTTGTTAATGGTTCGAGAGACAAAAAATGTCCCGGCGTCAAAACAGCAAAATCATTTGGATCGGAACTCATTGCGCAAAGTGGCCTCGAGTTTAATAAACCTTCAATTTGTATTAAGACCGTGTTCAGTTCCTCATATGTTAACAATTGCGAGCCTATAACTCTGGAGAGATGTGTTTTTACCGATTTAATCCCGGCTTCAAATAAACCTCCAAAATGAGGAGCGTAGGGAGGGTTGAAAATCCATTTAATTTGTTCTTTTTCAGAAGCGTTTTTCATTATATTTATAAGATATTTATTAGCGCCGACAAAATTAGTGCCATTGTCGGTAATTATTTGTGAACATCTACCACGTCGTGATATAAATCGGCGCAAGGCACAAAGAAAATTTTCTGAAGATAAATCTGTGACTAATTCAATATGAATCGCTTTAGTGGCGAAACAAACAAAGACGCAAATGTACGCTTTAACTTTCTTAGCACCGCGGGTTTTTCCAATAGTAACAAAATATGGACCCCCAAAATCTATTCCGACGACGGAGAACGGTTTTGCGCGAGTTATGCGATCTGCTGGCAAATCTCCCATCGGTGGTTGAGCTGAAGATGGATTCAAGCGCCAGCATTTTAAGCACTTTAATAATACGTTACGTATACATCTACGAGGCGATAATATCCAAAAATTTTGTGACAACAAAAAATGTAATGTCTGTAAGCCCGGATGGCAATTTTTTATATGCGCATCCAAAATAATTAGATCCGTTAAACGACTTAAACGAGGTAATATTATTGGAAATTTTTTGTCGTAATTTAACAATGAGTTTTTTAGGCGACCTCCTACTCTTAAAATTGAGTTTTCATCTAAAAAGGCACTTAGTTTTCTTAATTGTTTGGAAGGTAATTTATTATTTAGAAGTTTATGGATATCTTCTGAAAATGATAAAGACTGTTGGCGTTTGATAAGTACTAACAAAGCGGAATGTAGATCAAAATTATTAAAATGAGCAGTTTGTTTATTACGCGAAAACTTTGTATTGAAAATGAATCTTTGAACGTAAGCTATAATTCTAAGAATTTTATCTAAAGCTGAAAATTTCTCAATAAGATTATCAAAAACGTTAATGTTTTTGAAAACTGAAAACACTGTTCTACGTTGCTCCTTACTTATATCGGTAGTACAAGGTAATGGTGTTTTATCAATAGGCCATTCGGCTAACGGCAATAACAAGAATTTAGGTCCACAGACCCATTCTTTACAATTCATAAAATCTGCAGGCAACAAGCCTCGCGATGCACAATCAGCTGCATTAAATTCGGAAGGCACGTGATACCAATGTGCGTTCGCCAAGCTTTCTTGTATTAACGAAATGCGGTTCGATACAAAAGGTTTCCATCTATGCGGAGGTGAATTCAACCAATGCAAAACCGTTGTTGAATCAGTGAAAGCAAAAATATTTTCAAAAATTACTTTTTTATCAAAAGCGTTTAAAACAAAATTTGTTAATCTCGTGAGTAGTAAAGCTGAACACAATTCAATTCTTGGAATAGATAAAGGTTTAAGCGACGTTACCTTTGATTTTGCACAAAGCAGGTAACTTTTTATGTGATCAAAATAAACCACTCGTATGTAAAGACAAGCAGCGTAGGCCTTTTGTGAACCATCACAGAAGCCACACAAATCAAAATGATCAGCATCCTTTGAATATATGAAACGTGGAACCTGAAACGACGATAAACTACTTAACTGATTTTTATAATTATCCCATTGATTGAGAATATTTTTTGGCGGCAGGTCATCCCATTCCAGTTTTAATTTCCACAGTGTTTGTATTAACAGCTTGGCGATCAAAGTTACGGGTGTTAAAAGACCCAACGGGTCATAAATTCTAGCGAGATCTGATAAGACATTTCTTTTGGAGCACACGTTATGAACCGGAGTAACGGAAAAGAAAAACGTATCGGATGGTGGATTCCACCTTAAACCCAAGATTTTAATAGCGGTATCATGTTCAAAACCATACGTAAATGATTGATCTTGATGATCTTTAGGTAAATGATGTAGAAATTCATTACTATTGCTTGCCCATTTTCTGAGCTCAAATCCTCCACGACGAAGCAAAGAGATTAATTCCGATTTCAACTTTAAAGCTTGTTCCAAACTATCACATCCCGTAACTACATCATCCACGTATATATCTGAAGATAAAATTTTGGAAGCTAATTTAAAATTATTTCCTTCATCGTGCACTAGTTGCCTGATAGTTTTGAGTGCGAGATAAGGTGAAGAACTAACCCCAAAAGTTACAGTTTTTAGAATGTACTCGCGAAGAATTTCTTCTGGGGAGAAGCGCCAAAAAATGCGTTGATAATTATTTGCGTGAGTGGGATTTAATAATATTTGGAGGTACATACTTTTAATGTCTGCCGTAATTGCTACAACATGTAATCTAAAATTTAGAAGAATTGTGGAAATATCTTTTTGAAGTTTCGATCCTATTAAAAGCGTATCATTAAGCGAAATGTTGTTTGAATCTTTTGTTGAGGCGTCAAAGACTACTCTGATTTTAGTAGTAGTTGATTGAGGTTTTAAAACACAATGATGTGGAAGAAAGAATGCGTTATCATTTTTAGTAGCGGCTAATTCCATAAAATTATTATTTAAGTAATCGCGCATAAAATTGCAGTATTGCTTTTTAAGTTCAATATTGTTCATAAGACGTTTTTCTAGAGAAAAAAATCGTCTCAAAGCCGGTATTTTTGAATTTACAAATGTAGGTTCGCACGGATAATGCTTAAACGGTAATGAGACGACATATCGTCCGGATTCTGAACGGTAAGTAAGTTTATGATAAATGTTTTCACATTTTTCTTCTTCTGAACTAAGCGGGTTTCCAAAATGAATATCTTCTAATTCAAAAAATCTTTTGACCATCGTTTCTGAAGGTGTATTTTCAAAAACACAGAAAGTTTGCGCATATTGTAAGGGTTGTACCACCGGAGCTGTACCTACTAGAATATACCCAAGACTGGTTTCCAGAGCTGTACATCCCGACTCGGAAATCTTATTGCTACCAATAATTTGGCCAAATATTTCTGATCCGATGATACCGTCGATTTCTCTTGGAATATAAAATTGTTCGTCAGCGAGAGGTAAAGCGGTTAAAAACGGCATAGCGTCATGATCAATAGTACAAGATGGAAGCGAATTAGTAATGTTTTCAACAACTAGCACTTCGGCGTGAAAACTGACATTTTTAGTAAAATGTGGGAAAAATAATATTTGGGTGCGACCCAATACCTTTAGTGCATTAGAACCGACTCCTTTTAAAGAAAAACACACCTTAGTTGCATGCAATCCCAAGCGTTTACAGCATTTGGCAGTTAACAAATTAGACTGACTACCACTATCAATTAATACGCGAATGCTGTGAAAATTATTAAATTTGTCTTTAACATTGACAATGGCGGTTGATAAAACTACTGAAGTATTTTGAGCGACTTTTGGCTGCGGTAAAATTGAACACAAACTTAAAACTTCCGCAGATGGCTGTTCTTCGTTGGTGATGGTTGAACTCGAAATATGAGCGGTTTCTAGAGGTTTTCTATCAGATGGTGGCGATTGAGTATTAAAATTATTATCGTGCAACAAAGAATGATGCTTACGATTGCAATATTTGCAAGAAGAAGTAGACTTACAATATTTAAATGGATGGTTACTCAAACAATTGACACAAAGTTTATTCTGTTTACACAGATAGTACCTTTCTTTAGGCGTCTTATTTTGAAAGACCGGACATCTATATATTAAATGTTCTTCAGTTTTGCAAAAAAAGCAGGGGCGTTTGTTGGTAACTGTATTATAACAAAAGGTTGTTTTATTAGGACGACTTTGGAAATTGTTAACATTAGAGTCATTAACCGATTTGACTTTATTAGTGCGAGTAGAAACAGTTATAGATTCGTAAGCTACGCATTGTTTTTTCAAAAAATTCATAAGCTCGTTAAAAGAGGGCATTTCTGTAGAACCGTGTTGCGTTTCAAAGCGCGTTACTAAATTTATGTCCAATCTTTTAAACAACATTTGTGCTAAGATAAAAGACCACTGGTCTACTGGATAGCCCATATTTTGAAGCGCGGCGAGATTTTCATTAAAAGTATCAATTAATTTTCTTAATGCGGACGGGGTCTCTCCGTTTAAACGCGGTGCCCCTTCTATTTCATTCCAATGAGCGGTAGACAAAATTCTTTTATTGGAAAACCTAGTTCTTAAAGCGTTATATGCCACAGTATAATTAGAAGACGTTAACGGATAACATTGCATTAAACTCTTTGCTGTTCCTTCTAATACTGATAAGAGATGTGAAAATTTTTCGATACTAGATAAGCGAGCGTTATTGTGGATTAAAGCGTCAAACACATCTATAAAAGTATTAAAGTTTTTAATATCGCCGGAGAACGTGATTAATTTGAGTTCTGGCAATTTTACTCGTGGAGCACTGCCAGTGTGTTCAGACTCGAGGATGTTACTGCGCGGTTGATTTCCAAAAATTTGGTGATAAGTGCTTTTAATTGAATAATAAGAGACTTCAAAATTTTTCCTTATAGCATCCTCTACTTCGAACACCTCGTCGGCGTCTGAATACAAACTGAATAGGTTGTTATGCAATTTTTGAAAATTGTCGTAGATAATTTGGATATTTTCGTAGCGTTGCATAAAATTTTCATGACACGTTGTATTAACAAGAGAATTGTTTGCTACCTCTAATAATTCATTCATACGATTTATTTCGATACTTCGTAAAAGTTTGGTCTTTTTAATTTTTTCGACATTCGACATTTTAAAATTATATGTTTAAAGCAATTGGCAAGAGTGAACAAACCGAATGAAATTATACAGTTAAATTGCGCGCGTCCCAACTCGAACGAAACGAAAGTATAACCTTGTGCGATTTCCAACTTGAAATTGATAAAAACACACGTTGAAAATTCCCAATTTACAAAAAATTGTCAATTCAAAAGCTAAGTAAATAATATTCTGCTCGAAGGACCAAATGTTACAAAAGCAAATGTTACAAAAGCGAAAAGCGGACTAATTAATCTTTTAGTGATAAAATAATAAAAAAAATGACTTACCCCCAAATATTTTGTCTCTATGATCTTTACACAAATTAAAGGATCGGAAAGAAAGGATTTGTGTGAAATTGACGTATACAAGTATCACAATAATTAATACAAAATGAAATTGAACTTGATGCAGTTGGCGTGTGTAGCGTTGAACGAATATTCGGCAAGTGAGTTTTAAAACTGCACTCTGCGCTGCACCTAGAGATAATAAAATAGGCAAAGCGATAAAATTTTAAATTTTATATTTAATTTTATGGGTACAGTATAGTATATGGTGTACTTGCAGTATAATGTATACAATATGTCCTAAAGTACTGTGTTATTATACCTATTGGTGATCCTTTAGAAAACATGATGATCTAATCAACATTTGTCTTTATTTCAACTAAAGTCTCCGCGAGGATGACGCTACTTAGTCCTACAGTAAATTCAAAACGAGAGAGAATACGTACCGCGAGGGCACTTTTATTCGACAACGAGTTGTTACTACAAAATCGCAACGTATGGGACTAAACGTAATGTATTATGCAACTTTAAGAAACTATTTATAATTCAAAATAATTAAATACCTTCGTACAAAAAGAAACTAATCTGAAGGATTGAAACGTAAGTAAACTAACATAAAGGCTTCGGAACAACAAAAAATAACGTAGATAAAACCGGAGATATTGGTGTCGAAGGTCTTGTAACTTATATCGGAGCAATTCAATGATTAATCATAAACTTCATAGAGGTAATCGGTAATACTTGCAGTTAATCAGGAACAATCAATGGTTGTTCGAAGTATAATTTCTGTATAGATCAATGGAACAATATCACGTGATCCGCTTCTATCTTAAAAATCCAAATGGCGGGTCCATGAAAAAGGTGATGCAATGCAAATTCGGCGTAGGTATTTATCAAAGGTGTGGATCGAAGTAGTCATAATGTTTTATGTAGAAACAAATGTAGGAAAAGAAAATGGCCCCCAAATCCGCCTAAAACATTTGTAAATATATTCGCAAAATATGGCAATGACACCAAGCAACTACACAAAAGAAAATCTTCTACCGATTCACCTGTTAGCAAGCCGTCAGCTAAGAGAAGGGGACTTATTGCAAATAGAAAAAGACAATGTGGTCATACGGTGGTGTTATTATCTATTGGTAGTCGAGAGATCCGCCATGTTTTGGTCAAATGCACCTGATTGGTAGAAATTAACCAAGAAACAAATGGTGATCTTCTTGGACAATCTGCTCAATCATAAATTGGAAAAAGCATGGCCGACATGGAGCATTATGGCCACACTGTCTTTATACAGTCACTTTAAGAACAGAATTTAAATATTTGCCCTGAAGGTTTGTGCCGGAAAATTTCCTTCAAGATATTCGGCTCGCTGTAAGACTCCCCCGCCAAAACATACTTCATTGTTTGAAAAGATCAATGGTAAGGACCCTTTCGATCTTTTTGTAAACATTAGCCGCAACAAATATGCCTTTGTCCCAAGAAAAGTCACCTTCAGGTACGCTTGCTCTCAAAATATTTGTTTTCGAAAGATTCGCCATTTATCTCCCTAAAAGTTCGTAATCAAAGAAAATTTGTCTGCGATAGAAGACTCTCTCCCAGGAACTTCGTGCAAAGGAAATTATACAATGAGAAAGGCTCGGGCTGGAGATTTAAAAAAAGCCCTTTTACTATGGAGTCAATTCACTTTAGTATACGTACATGGACGAAACTCTGGAACAGGGGAAACTACCGGTTACCAAAATGGCGGAGGCAAATTTTCTGGAGACGATTTTTCAGGAACCAGTTCAGTTATCTTTGAAGGTTAGGACTTGGCCGGATTTATGTCGATAGACGATTCGACCCTGATCTAATGGCTGATTTCTGTTTCAGGCATCTCGCAGCTCTAAGACTTCACCTGAAAGATGGCAGAGGACGGAGCAGGCCTAGGAGCAAGCACTTGGTGGTGTGCTCAGCCTCCTGTACGACTCGGAACAGGACCCACCTACCAGGGAGCTGAATGAGTTGATAGAGTATTGTCGTCACCACGTTGCGTGAGGCAGCTCGGACACCAACTCCATGGGCGATCACCTTCTGGAGCAGTACTGGTGCTAGGCGAGCTCCTCCACACTCTGCACGAAGGTGGAGCGCATACACACGAATACGCGGGCGAGCTCGCGCTCGTCATAACTAGAAAGTTTCAAAACACCGTAAAAGAGCTCTTGAACAGGTCGATAGGTGCCAGATAATGCAGTATCCATGGCCTCTCCGTTAACCCAGAAAAGACCGATGTTCCATTTACAAATAGAAGTAGAGCGGACCTTGACGACCTTCGAGGGTCTGACAAAGAGCGTAATGAAAATAAGTAATATTTGTCTTGTATTCAGAAGAGTTGAAGAAGTTGAGTTGATAATTTATTGTTAAAAATTACGGATTTAGCTTATGTGAAGCTGATTTAATTCCGGTCACATAAATGCTTCTGGTGACTTATTTATCATGGTTTCTCTCTAGACCTGCCAGAACGAGGCACCTATCCTTCCCCTCCTTCTCATCGTCTTTTTCTTCTACCATTATCGCCACCGATACTTCGCTTTCCAGTCAATTCGCGTCATCATCTAATTCTCTTCTGGTCGTCCCCTCGGGCCATTTCTCTTGAGAGTCACTGGCGATTGCTATACGCTCTTGGATTCGTGCTCGAGCAATGGTCTTCATCTCGGTCTTACATTTGCTGCAAACTGCTTCCTCTCCGGATGGGTCCACCCCATCGACTTTTGCGGCTTTACTGGTTACTGATGGTATACTCTGCGGCCAACTGGGATGCAGCAATACTAATCTCTAGTGAGACTTCTTTTATCTCTTTTTCTGTATTTTTAGAGGCCAGGATTTCGAGCCTCCTCAATGGTGATACTTTTATTGATAAATTGAATTACTTTGTTGTTCATTGCTCTCACGCGGAGACGTTCATCCTACGCTTACCCATTGTTTTTGTTTCAGAAAGTTTAATTATGGTTCAAGTAAACGTTTATACTATCAAGACGTATAAGGGTCATGCACTGAAATCTCACGAAGCAAAAGAGCCGATTTGGGAAAAGTAAAGGACGCAAATTTACTCAGTAAAACAAAGACCTTTTATTTGGAGGATATTCCGTAGCTTACATTTTTCCCTGAAATAACTGGTAATTTCTTCTACCGTTTGCCCTTCTGTTTCCGGAAGACCCAAAACGATAATTATTACTCCAATCAAACTTGTACACGCATACACCCAAAACAACACGTGTATTTTGTATGCCGACTTCAAGAGGTACAAGCCTGCTACAAAATCTGAAAGGTACGAGACGCCCATACTCAGCCCACACCCTACAGCGCGCGTATCATTAGAAAAAATTTCCCCCGACAATATAAGCGGTAAGTTTCTAAATCCACAGTTACCCAAGCAGGTCATTACTAAAATAAGGACGAAAGGCACCCATTTGTACTCTACTTCTGTCGATGGCTCCGAAGGCGTAGCTGCCTGGCTTCCGTACTCATTAAACATCGAGTACATCCCTAAAATCGCGTTGCACAAACAAACGGAGGTCGCAGACCCTATTGCCGTCTTTTTCTTCCCGCAACGCCTTACAGAAAATGTGTAGAGAGAGCTCCCAAGAAACTGAGCCGCACCTAACATCACTGTCGCGTTTTGTTCGTCTATAGGTACGTTTAATGCCAAGAAAAATGACTTTGCTGCAGCGGGCGTGGTTGAAGGGCCGGAAAAATTCGCGACCAAATGCACGGAGGAAACCAATACTAGTGGAATCAGAAAATCCTTCTTAAGGTATTTCATGGCAGTTGATAATTCAGGAGGTTTGACGACTGGTATTTCTATATTAATATCGATAATTTTCCGACGCACTTTCGCTGGTTTTTGGCCGATGCTGATTTGAAGCACTTGAAATTCCTCCTCGATACTTTCCACTGTGGTCCATCCCCTTAGCCACGCTAAACTCTTTCGTGCGTCGTCTGGTTTATTTTTTATCAGTAACCGATATGGACTTTCTGGTACTATGTACGAAGAACAAAATGCTGCAACGGGCGCGATACATGAAACTAACGCCGCCTCCCTCCAGTCAAAAGTGCTTCCTATGTAGTACTCTATCAGGAGACCCAACTGGAGAGCTTGTATGTTGGTGGCCATTAAAATTCCACGCAAGCGGGGTTCCATCACTTCTGCAATGTAGGCCAATGCCTAAAGTAAACAAAATTAATTATTCATAATATTAGTGGAAAATTTTTAATATTTCCGGAGGCTGGTAGATTCGGTTCTTGGTCGCATATAGTTTTTTTTTATTTACCGAAACTTGCATGGCTCCACCTACTATTCCAAGGGCGGTCAGTGCTACAGACGCTTGCCACAGTTCCGTAATAAAGTAAAAGGACAAAAATGACAGCAGCTGTGTGATAGTAGCAAACAACATAAGTCGCTTTCTTTCCACACGTTCCACAAGCATTCCGGATAGTATAGCGCCCACGAAAGCGGTTAAAGTTGGAAGGACAGCTACGGATGTAATTGACATGTCGCAATTGTCGCAGATTAACACTTACAAAACCATGAAGCTTTATTTTGATGCAACTGAATGAATTCGTTTGGTTCGTAATCGGTCAGGTGGGGAACTAAGATTGTTGCGTATCCGGTAGTCATTCCATGCCCGATTATCAAGCTATTCTTCATCAACACTGCTACTAACTGGGACAAGATAGAGCGTACCGTACGTACATGAGGAGTTGCCAACTCTCGTAACGAATCTGAAATTAATAATTTAATAAGAACGCAGGTATCGCCGTATATTATTTCCTAATTTTTAATATCTACACATATCTTCTAGAATAGTAGAGGAAATGCTCATATGTTGATTGCAGCAGTTCCTGCATTTCCCATTGAAGATAGTGCCTAATGCTTGAATCAAATTTGATAATACCGGAACTCCTTATCAGATATTATCGTTTCCCCTAACCCTAGGGTCGATTCTAATGTAAGAGCAGCCACCTTCACTTACCAATCTCTAAGCGAGACATTCGAATCTGTCATCAGTGCGAAGCATAAGTGAAGACTGATAAATGCATGACCCAAAAATTTGCTGTTCATTTGTATAAACCTTCATTTATTTCGGTCAATAGTTAGAGTGACCACTAACGAACGTTTCTCGATATCTTTGTGGCTTTGCTAACGATATAAATAAACGAAATGGTACACGGGGATATATTGTTGATGTGCTCTACTTACACTTGGGCCGAACTTCCGATGTTCCGACGTTGATTGCGTGGTTTCTATTCCTGATGTACTTACGTTTTGCCAACAGAGATACCTACTGGATTCAAATTGAGGACGGTACACTTAATAACAGATTTTGAAACGTTGGTGTACGGGAAAAATGCAATACCAAACTAGGCCTCCTAGGAGGGAACTTTCTTCTTTATTGTTTGGTACTCAGAATTACCCTCTCATTATTTTGCCTGTAACAATCCTTCGTTCCTACGTTCGGACCAGAAGAGCCTACCCACCAGCTGCCGTGACTTATTCGACACAGGGCAATCCTCAACGAGGAGGAACAAAAACGCTGTCCCCACCGATGAGTGCCGTAAACGGAAATGCCAACCGATTACCCACTGCCTCCTCGACGATCTGCTCCATGCAGCCCGAGCCTGCAGGCCGGTTATTGGCAGATTGAGGTATCCGAAAAGAACAGAGATAAAGCAGCGTTCGTTTTTGCCCTAGAGCTTAACCGATACAAACGAATGGCCTTTGAACTTCGAAATGCACAACCACCTTCCAACGCCTGATCTATCGAATGAAGGCAAACCTCATAAGCAACGGTCCTAGCCTATCTAGACGACATTATTGTCCTCTCAAACACCTATTCGACCTTCGCGATTTTTTCGGTAGGATACGTCAATTTAAGTTAAAGGTCAGACCACTTCGCCCGAAGACGCATTAAACATTCGGACATCACCTCAGGACTGAAGGAATTGCAAGGGACCTCGCCAAAACATACCGCCTTCCGAAAATGCAATGACCCGAATACAATGACTTCTGATGCAAATTAAACAATGCGCTTACGGCTACGAACTGAATTTATTTTGCTTCTTCGTTGTTCAATCGAATATTTATTTGAAACTCGGTGCTACATCTTGTTCCTCTTGACATTCTTTTTGAAGTTAAGTCACGGTCTTCAAATGCTTTTACACTCAATTTGCCGCCATTCTTTCATTAATTTTTGCAATTCAAACTTCTCGCAAGATAGGTGCGTACACTCAAGCTAGCAATGTTTAACACATAATTTTGCGAACTAATTATCTTAACCGCACTCTTAGCAGACGACTTATACGGTAATACACGTTTAGTGCCTGCCCCATTTTACTTTTGACTTCGCAATTCATGTTTCTGCCTGTGAAATCTGTTACGGTCCCAATAAAACAGGAAGACTCGTCTCCGCCGAAGGTCTTTGCTTCCGTCGCGTCTTTCAACCATATACAGTGCGTTTCAGATAATAGGGTCACCTCAATATCTCTTTTATTCTGATGATATCATCGTGTGTAAAGGAAAGTGTGGATGCTCATTTCATCTGGAATGTGCCCAGCTGTCCCTGGAATCCTATACAGCTATGCAACAAGCTGGAGACATTAATAAATGGGTATGTGCAAATTGTATTGATACAAGTGCAAACATAACCTCGATAATAAATAATAATGAAATTGTTCAAAGCTGTGACGGTCGATTCTCGAATTCAATAATCGCCATAAACGTTGAACAATTACAAGGTATTATTCAAAATACTGTTAAAGCGGTAATCGAGAATTTTAAACACGAAATCGTAGGTCCACTAAAAGTGGAGTTAAATCATTTAAAAATTCAAAATCAAGAACTGTTAAAGATCTTGAAACAACAGGAAAATGAGAAAATAACTGCTACGCCAGTAGCTACTGGGAATCACCTCAATTACGCCAACGTAACTACCAGGAAACCTAAAAAGTATCATGATAATCTTGCTAATAGTAAGGTTATCACATCAGCACAACTATCTGAAGCGATAAACAACGTAAATATTCGTAAGGTCACTCCCATCTCTAACGAAATTCCCAAAGCGAATACGGAAAATCAACGAATTACCGTTGAACCTACTGAGGCGCCAGTAGGCGGTTCAACAGCTGCCTCCCAAGTTGCTTCTGTTGCTCCAATTAAGGATAATAATGAATGGACAACTGTGATAAATAAGAAACGGCACACGAGAAAACCCACGGGAATTCTTGGTTCCCGGGAAGACAGTGCGCTAAAAGCGGCTGAAAGGTTTACTCACCTGCACGTTCGAGGATTAGATGTAAGCTGCTCTGAGGACATTCTCATGAACTATCTCAAAGCAAATAACATTTTGAGTGCAAAATGTCTCAAACTGACATCCAAACACCCTGATGAGTATGCTTCATTTAAGGTATCAATCACTGAAAGAGACCTTGATCGAGCAAAGGATCCCAACCTATGGCCTACCGGAGTAATAATAATCAACCGTTTTTTTGTGAATCGACCGAGAGCGAACCCCGTTCCCTAGGGGATATCAGCTTCTCGGTGTTTCATCTGACCATTCAATGTCTGCGACACAAATTTAATGAATTGGAGGCGTTTTTATTGTCGAGTCATTCAAACTTTGATGTGGTGTGTATCAGTGAACACTGGCTAAAAGCAAACGAGATAGACAGTGGCTCCTTCCTTGATGGTTATACTGTAGCGTCGTATTTCTCAAGAAGTACTAATATTCATGGTGGTGTGTTAATGTTTGTGCGGAAGCATCATACCTTTAAATATTTAAAGCAAATAAATGAGTTATCTGTTGAAGTTCATTGCGAAATAACATCTGTGAAAATTTTTCCCTGCGAAATCATTATAGCATTGAATATCCAACTCCTCTATTCAATGATTATAGTGACTATTCAATTCATCTAACATTTGTCACATTTCAACCAGTGAAATGTCTCGATTTCAAATTGCTGCGCCAATGGGAACGAATTATAGTGATAATTGCACGTGTGGTATTTCAGCGACAATTCAATGCGATTATTCAATGACATTTGTCAAACTTCCATCAGTGAAATGACGCGAAATTTTGTCGTATTAACCGGAACATTCTTCTTAGTTTGTTAATCAATTTCGACAACCGACTTATCACCACATCTTTTAATTTAATCACTCATAACGAATTAGCTTGGAGCACAAAAGTTCGAATAGAATCAATAGCAAAATGAAAAGCAACTTCCATAATTTATTTTGACGTTTATTGTTGTCATGGAAATACATTCGCGTGGGTAATTATGCTTAATTTTTCTTTTGATTCATTGAATAGTCCTCCGAATACCATTCGTAGTCGAAGTATTTGTAGATTATTTTTGAGCTGCTGCTCCACTCATGCTAGTTACGCTTTTTAATACCACTCGCGCAAGCGCTCGTGGTATTAATCAGCGTAACTAGCATTCGTGACAGCACCTCAAAAATATTCGACAATACTTCGACTACTTATGGTATTATATATGACAATTCAACTCATGTATAAAAAATCACATAAGCCGCAGTGTAATTGTCACTTTGACAGCGGCAAAAGTTACCTGCAACTTTTCCAGCGACAAATGCACTAGTGGTTTTTTCACTTATTCATTTTCGAACCAATAATCGCATTATCCTTACCCATATGACTAGTTTGACGTCAATAATTGATTAGTTTGGTGAATTTCTTGTTCGTTAAATTGTCCTGCCGAATTACACTCGAGGTTTGTATTTAAACCGAATAAATTTGGGTTGTGGCAATTCAAATCTGTTTCCTTTTAGCAATTGGACTCGAAAAACTGTCAACCTAAAAATGCTCCACCTGCGGTGTCGCATTTTTATTAGTTGACAGTTTTTCTCGTCTAATTGCTAGGCAACAGATTTTCATTACCTAAACAACCCAAATTTACTCGGTAAAATACAAACCTCTTGTGCAATTATAAGTGACAATATATCGCTCACCAAATGGCGACTTTGATCTATTCTTGGAGAAGGTTAACAACCTTCTTAACTTAATTCTGAACTACAAAAAAGTTATCTTTGCAGGGGACTTTAATGTAAAATTTAATTCCGTGGAAAAAAATGCCACTGCATTATGTGATCTTTTGGGTAGTTTTGGTTACTACCGTACTATATTTGGTGCCACCAGAGGCAAAAATTGTCTTGACAATATTTTTGTGAATTTTTCGCTACCATCTCAAGTGTCGGAGGTACATGACACTGGTATATCTGATCACCTAGGACAAGCTATTACTGTCGTGGTTCAATGCTATAGTCCAATCAGTCAGTATGAAAACTCGATCTTCAGACCGATAACTAACTAAGGGATATACTCTTTTTTCTGTCTGTTTAACAATTGCGACTGGAATTTTCTCGATAATGACAATCTAAATTGTGAAGAGAAGTTTAATGTGTTCTTTAAATTGACCAGGGAATCCTTCAATTCGGCTTTTCCATGCAAAACTTTCTCTATGAAAAAAACTAGTAATAAGGTTCTTTGGTTCAACATCAAATTACAGCAAATGTGGGAACAACTGTCATGGATTAATGAATTGCATCGTTGCACCAATAGCAATATAATAAAGAAGGCTAGAAACACTGTTCGCACCCAATACAGGAATGCGATAAAAATGGCCAAATGTTCTGCAAACGATAATATTATACGTAATCCCGGGAAAGCGGCCTGGAGAATAATAAATTCTTATCGACCAAACCAACCGGATTCTGCTACACCAAATATTGATCCTGAAGAATTCAATAAATACTTTGTTTATGCACATGATCTTAATAACCCACAACTTTCTGGCGGAGACCCAATTGACTTGTGTAAAGCTACTACCTCTTTCAAGTGCAACGAGGGATTTGGTTTTCAAAAAGTTTCTGAGTTTGAAATTAGACGTATTATCAAATCTTTAAAAAACAGTTCCTGTATAGACATTTATGGAATGAGTACTAAAGTAATCAAAGGAATTACCAGCTCATTTGT